ATGTATTGTGGGAAAGGTGGCATGAAAGTAGGAATTTAAAGATAATAGAGAAGAAAGATTCTGATGTAATTGTGTGACAAGTCAATGACCAAGTATATATTGAACTCAGTTCCGTAAATTATCTTAAGGTTGCATCATAATACCATTGATTTGCATATACATTGTATATTGTATAAGTTTATTTTTATGCCCCCCTTCAAAGAAGGGAGGGCATATTATATGCTTTGCTGCTGTCTGTTGGTCGGTCTGTCGGTCCACTTAGTTTCCGTTCATTTTCTTCGCAACCGTTGCACATACTGAAATGAAATTTGGTATACAGATATATCACATGAATATCTAGGTCAAGTTCTGTTTTGGTACAATTGCGCCATTTTGACAGAGTTATGCCACTTGGACTTAGAAAAATTTCAATTATTTGCAGTTTTCGTTCATTTTCTTCGCAACCGTTGCACATACTGAAATGAAATTTAGCGTACAGATTTATCGGAGGAATATCTAGGTCAAGTTCTGTTTTGGGTACGATCACACCATTTTTGACAGAGTTATGCCCCTTAAACTTGGAAAAATTCCAATTTAGGGGGAGGGGATGCATATTAAGTGTTTTACAAACATCTCTTGTTATAATGGTGTTCCTTTTCATTATACATATATTCTATGAAAACAATTTTGATCATACATATATATTGATAAATAAATTATATCTATTTCGCTTACAAATGGACCCTTAAAATGGATGAGTTTGAAGTCACACAATTGTACTACATGTACCACAATAATTATGTGAATTGTTTCTGTTTTAGGCAACAGATATCTGGGCCATTGGAGTCACCTTATATTGTTTTGTTATAGGAAGAGTAAGTCATTGAATCACAAGTAAAACTATTCAAAAAGAGCCCCTAAAATAGAATTGACAACATTAGGCAACATTTTGGATTAAACATGTTATACCATTGAATTGACTCAAAGGGACTATAAAACTTAACATCATAAAACTAGGCATGATTTGAATTTGAAATAATCAATGTCTGCGTTAAACAAGTTTAATAACTATATGTTAATTATCTGAAAATGTTTTGCTTTCTATTTATTGCACAAAAACATTTTTGTGTGGATGTGTTTGCAATTTTGGGAGGAGAAAATTATTAACAGCTGACTTGCACATTTACTAATTTCAGTGTCCATTTGAAGATGATTTTCCTTTAAGTTTACACAAGAAAATTATGAATGACCCGGTCAAGTTCCCTGAGAAGTAAGTTTGAAGCTCCGAAATATAATAAAGACATATGTACTCAAATCTAATTAAAGTTCTATAAGCTCTTACATTTGATTTCATTATATTGTAGGCCTGTGTTGTCGGAAGAATTAAAAGATCTTATCCTTAAGATGTTGGACAAAAATCCCAACACAAGAATAACACTACCAGAGATAAAGGTAAAAATTTAGATATGTTAAGCAGTTAAGGCATGAAGTCAAGGAATAAGCTGCTCTGCTTGAACTGGTCTGTGAACCAACTGTGCCTTTGCAAACCAGCTCTTTGAAACTAAATTGAAAGGGTTGGGAGGTATTTATGATTTGAATTAGTGAGTTAAGATTTTAAAAGCAAAACTTTATTATAACTATTCATGTAAACGACAGGGTCGGATACCTTGCATTTCTTTATAAATCTTGCTTGGAGAAAAATGGTTGCTTTCAGTAACTTTATACATGTATATTGTTAATGTACATATGTACAGCTGAACTTTTCTATCTTGAACATTGATATCTGCAATACCATGGATATGTTGAAGTACAACTGTACTTAGGTAGTCCAAAGCACTTTTACATTAAATATTTTACCCTCAATATCTTGAATCCTTGTCCATCTCAAGGTTTTTCTATGGAGTTTGAGATAACTAGGATTGACTGTACATGTAAAAAGAACAGCATTTGATGCAAAGAAAAAGATATTGAGTGACACCCAAATAGTTAAGTTATACAGGAATGATGGTGTAATGATATATTGTATAGTTGTATTATGCCTGAAAATTTTATAAAATTGTACAAAGCTTTGATAAATTTATTACGACTATTTTTAGGAACATCCCTGGGTGACAAGGTTTGGAGAGGAGCCCCTGCCAACAGAGGAGGAGAATTGTGTCCTTGTGACCTTGACCGACGAGGACCTTGACAATGTGGTCAAACATGTGCCAAAGTTAGACACTCTGGTCAGTTCTTTATAAATGTTTATCTTAATCACATGTTTTTATATGTAATGGATTTCTGCTAGGTATCATTTAGTCGTTACAGTTCTAGTTAAAAGAAAGAAAGAACCATATCCTAATAAATGAGAAATTTAATTAAACCATGGTTTCTGACATTACTGTCTGACACTGTTTTCCAATAGATTTGTGGTGTCCTAATTAAAGGTAAATCATGCTTCATAAATGACAACCTAGAAACAAATGACTACCAAGAACAATTAATTAAGTTGGTGCATGAGAAATAGGAAAGTGGTTCATATATATATATATATATCCTATATAATTTATTAATGCCAAGATTTTTTGTATATTTTTAATATAACTGCATGATGGGAAAAAGGTCACAAGATGAGGACTTAAAAAACTAAAATTGGAAAAAAAAATTACTGTAATGATTCAATATAATAATAACCATTATACAAGAACAACTAAAACTGGCATTGATTAGATGTTCCCATATAGAAAAGTATCTATTGTACTGAAATGTAAGCATGCTAGGAGATTGGGTGCTTTGAAAAGAGACATGTCGAGGAGAAATAAAAGATTTTACATTTATATTCTTATAATTGTAAAGTGTTTGTTTTAAGAAAAGAACTGATTTTTCTCCTTTCAGATTATGGTGAAGAGCATATTAAAACACAAGTCATTCAAAAATCCATTCAGGGACAACTCCTACATTAAGGAGGAATTTCAAAAAAGTGGGCGCTCTAATTCCGCTCCAGACACATTCCACAGGGTGGTAAAAAGGTAAAAGCACAATCTGTAAATACCTGTAATTACCTGTGAATACCTTCTTCAAGTCTTACTCATTTTCTTTAAGAGTACAGTTATAAATGAATTTACTGGTATCTTAATTATTGCACTTATACACATCATATCCTGGAAATAAATTGTTCTTAGATTTTTCATCTATTATAAACATTTTGCTGTCCATAACAAGTGTTCCCTAAAGAAAATCTGTCTATTTTTATCACTAACAAGTATGTCCTTGGGATTAATGGAGGAAAACTTCCTTGCTGGATAGTTATTAGTTTACAGTTGTTCTAAACTATATGAATCACTTTGGGTGCAAGGAATTGAAAGTCAGTTATATCAATATTGATTCAGTGTTGAATGTTTGCAGGGGATATAATTATTTTGAAAAATAAGTTGATAAAAGACTAAGGAAGTGGAAGAAATCAATATAGAAGTAAATCTTTTGTATTTCAGGAAAATTTCTGCCGATGCCAATGTTGACAAGCCCCTGGCTGAACATTCATAATACCAGTGCCAGCCACCTTAAACTCCATATATGCAAACTACAACAAGAGTACCACTTATGCATTCATTATTCAAGATTCCCTTCCCGTTTAGGATGTTAATTTTCTGCTTAGGAGCCTTGAAAAAATGCTCTAAGTGATCTAACTACCTTAGTGCATTCAAGCAATTTCCACTTTTACTTGTGTTTCATGACACTGGATTAATCATGTCAGATGTATTTCGTTTGATTTTTTTTTAGCTCACCTGAGCTGAAAGCTCAAGTGAGTTTTTCTGATCACATTTTGTCCGGCGTCCGTCTGTCTGTCTGTCTGTAAACTTTTCACATTTTCAACTTCTTCTCAAGAACCGCTGGGCCAATTTCAACCAAACTTGCCACAAAGTATCCTTGGGTGAAGGGGATTCAAGTTTGTTCAAATGAAGGGCCACGCCCTTATTCAAGGGGAGATAATTGGGAATTAATGAAAATTTGGTGGCAGATTTTAAAAATCTTCTTCTCAAGAACCACTGTGCCAGGAAAGATGAAACTTATGGGGAAACATCCTCAGGTAGTGTAGATTCAAGTTTGTTCAAATTATTACCCCCGGGGGTAGGGCGGGGCCAAAATGGCCGACCTAAGTTTAACATAGAAATATATAAGAAAATTCTTTTAAAATCTTCTCAAGAATGACAAAGCCATAATTCATCATATTTATATGGAAGCATGCTCAGGTAGTGTAGATTCAAATTTGTTCAAATCATGACCCCCCGGGGGTAGGGCGGGGCCAAAATGGCCGACCAAAGTTTTACATAGAAATGTATAGGAAAATTCTTTAAAAATCTTCTTCTCAAGAATGACAAAGCCATAATTCATCATATTTATATGGAAGCATGCTCAGGTAGTGTAGATTCAAGTTTGTTCAAATCATGACCCCCGGGGGTAGGGCGGGGCCAAAATGGCCGACCAAAGTTTTACTTAAGGAATGACTCTAATTCTTGGCCAGATTATCGAGTATACATGGTTTGCTGTCGCTTTATAATCCGCGAAGCGGATTATAAAAAAGCGTAAACTGTCTACCATATTATATCGATAATCTGGCCAAGAATTAGAGTCATTCCTTATAATTTAATTTTAAAATAATTAAACAACTGGGGATGTAAAATTGTGTTGTTTTTATTAGTTCAAATTTACCGCGCAATAATACAACCGTAGTAACGGAAGTGATGGGAAGCAAGGGGAGGTAAAAACTGATACATAGATCTAGCAGCCATGATGCTTGTTTACATGAGGTAAGATCGAGCAACTGTTTGAAGTTAAAGGTACATTCATTAAATCTGGAATTTTTCATGAATCCGAAGGACTGGAAATGAGGGGATTGATGGATACAGATGATTCAGCTGGTTGTCAAGGGGGTGTGTCCCCATACCAAACCAGATTATACAAAATGTTATGCGTTCCTTTTTGGAAATAAACCAATGAGAGACAAGAATACAAACAGAATTAAATTATATAAAAATATAGGAAAATTCTTTAAAAATCTTCTTCTCAAGAATGACAAAGCCATAATTCATCATATTTATATGGAAGCATGTTCAGGTAGTGTATATTCAAGTTTGTTCAAATCATGACCCCCAGGGGTAGGGCGGGGCCAAAATGGCCGACCAAAGTTTTTAAAGATATATATAGAAAAATTCTTTAAAAATCATTTTCCAAAAAATAGCAAATCCATGATTGGTCATGGGACTACTTTTGGATTTAAACTTTACAATAAAAAGCCATTTTCTACTTTTTCCTACCCTTAGTGCTCAGGTGAGCGATGTGGCCCATGGGCCTCTTGTTATAATTTAAGCTCACCTGAGCTATAGTTTCAAATGAGCTTCCTCTGATGAAAGTTTTGCTGTTGTCAGTCTCCGAGTCTTTGATTAGTTTACTTGTCATGCTTAATACCATCATGCAATTTTAAGTCAATTTAATGAAGGGCCACATATTTCTTTAAAGAAGGAGAAAGAAATTTGGTGATATCATAAAAATTTTTCATAACTATGAATTGAAATTTGTGATAGCTTATACTAGCTAGAATTATGTTCATTCCAAAAGGACAGAATCCTGATTCCATGGGCCACTATAGGCAATCTTATTCTCTTTGGTCCTTTTTGTCTCATAGTTTTAATTCAAAAGAAATTTTTGTTAAAAGAAAAACTTATGCATATTATGCTTAAAGCATGCTTTTAATATATATAATATGAAAAGAAAGAGAGAGAGAGCAATGTTTCAAACTGATCAAGAGCTCTGCAGAGTTTGGTTCTGTAGTCAGATTGCTATGGAAGTAAGTGAGCATTGTGGCCCAAGCCCTTTGTTTTTTTTTTTGTTTTTTCTGTTTGGTGCATTTTGAAGTACATGACAATTCATTAGATATTTTATGTAAATATTTTAGCATATAGTTACATGTTGACTGTTTTTGCTATTTAATTCCAAAGTTTTGCTGCAAGTAAAATACAATTTTTATCTATTTTTAAATGTAGGTTAGTTTTTATAAAAAGTGTATTTATTGTATGCAAGGTCTTATTCCTTCTAGTGTAAATACATAAACAAATGTACATGTATGTAGAAAAAAATAATATTTAAACTTAAAATAATTGTTAAATTGAGAAAAATCAAAATATGATATGAATGCAAATAAATTCTAACTAGTATGTATATATCTATCACACAGGGGTTGTTTCCTCCATTGTATAAATACATTGTTACCACACCATTTGTTTTTAATTTATTTTTCATTTATTATATGTTAGATTTTAGAGGGTACACATCTTTTTAATCTTTTAATTGCATATTTTTCAAAGACATAACTTTTCAATTCACCTTAAAATTTTAAGTACATTTGTAAAGTACACTTTTCCAGTATTTGAAAGACTGTTTTTATAACTTGACTAGTAACTAAAATAGTTATTTTAAGAAATGCATAAAATAACAAGATGATGTATTTTTTTTTTATTTTGGACACTTTTTAATCATCAGTAGGTATTAAGCCTTAGCACTTGCTTGTTATATTTGCCTTCACTGTGGCAGATTAATGGTTGATTTTTATGGCAGCTCATTTTGCATTCACCTCTATTACTATGTTTATATATAGGAAATAAATTATATGGGTAATCCCCACCAACACCATCAAACAAAACATATTTCAATATCTCATAATTATTATAAAGACTGACATGTTTAGCTACATGTATCAGTTGTCAATTCCTTTTTTATCAAAAAGAGCAGAGGATGGGTCTATAACATAATACATTGGAAACATGAATTTCTGGACAGCATATCATTTAATATCTTTGTTGAATTTCTTTACAACATACCTTTTTAATATTTTATCAAGGTACATTTTTTAGGTCACCTGAGTCACTCAGGTGACCTATTGCTTTCTGTTTTTGTCCGTCGTCGTCCGTCGTACGTCGTTCGTCGTCAATCGGTCGTAAACTTTTGAACATTTTCAGCTTCTTCTCTGCAACCACTGAACCAATTTCAACCAAATTTGGCACAAAGCATCTATGGGTAAAGGGGAACAAAAATTGTGAATTTCATGATTCCTGCCCCCCTGGGGCCTGAGGGGTGGGACCAAAACCACTAAAATTAATGCAATCTTTAAAAATCTTCTTCTTTACTCCTGGACATCAAGCAGTCAAACTGTTTGCATGATTGTAATCAGCATTGAGTCCTTTACCAAAATTGTGAAATTCATGGCCCTGGGGTCAGGGGTACTTGTGCTAGGGCGGGGCTAAAAAAGTATATAGTGAAAATGCATTATTTTTTTAAAAATCTTCTCTGCTCCTGGGTATTAAATAAACTAACTAAGTACATAGTTATGATGAGCAAGAGTGCCTCTACCAAAATTGTGAATTTTATGGCCCCAGGGTCAGGGGTTCTGTGGTAAGGGCGGGGCTCTATTGATTATATAGTGAAAATACATGAATTCATTGAAAATCTTCTTCTCTGCTCCTGGGTATCAAATAAACTAACTAAGTACATAGTTATGATGAGCAAGAGTGCCTCTACTAAAATTGTGAATTTTGTGGCCCCAGGGTCAGGGGTTCTGGGGTAAGGGCTGGGCTCTATTGATTATATAGTGAAAATATATGAATTCTTTGAAAATCTTCTTCTCTGCTCCTTGGTATTAAATAAACTAACTAAGTACATAGTTATGATGAGCAAGAGTGTCTCTACCAAAATTGTGAATTTTATGGCCCCAGGGTCAGGGATTCTGGTGTTGGGGGAGTGTATTGATTATGCATGTATAGTGAAAAAACATTAAATCTTTGAATATTTTCTTCTTTGCTCCTAGACTTTAAGCAGATTACCTATATAGTTATGAGCAAGGGACCAAATCTTCAAGAATTGTAAATTTCAAGACCCCAGGGTCAGTTGTACCATAGAGGGGGGGGGGGGGGCTGTACTTATATACTAAAAATGAATGAATTGTTTGAAATGTGCTCCTTGGTATTAATCAAATGCCTTTCCATAAATTGTACAATGTGTGGATCTAGGCCTAAGAGTAAAGGGTTCATGTGTGGTAGCGGCACAACTGATTATTGCTGAATATTACTGATTTGTTGAAATGCATTTTTTGTTCCCCTACCATGCCTATGGGTATTAAGCAACCAAACTAAGGAACTGCTAAGTGTATAGTTATGATGACCAAATTGTAAATGCTATAGCATCTGGCTTAAAACATGCCAATGGATCAAATTCAATCACTGGAAAGTTGTTGAATAATGCTCAGGTGACCTATAAGGCCCATGGGCCTCTTGTTTTAAAGTGCAAGCAGTGTAGATGCTGTCAATATTCTGTGTGGAGATAAAAAGATTTATCCTTTAGGGTTTTCAGTTTAGTCATATTCCAAGAACTTTTCTGCTCAATAAAGTACATGACTCAACAATTTCTCTGAAGAATTTCATTCAGTATTTGCAAATTTAAAAAATATCCTTTAATTACCAAAGATGCATTCAACTTTCATATTTTGTTTGTATATGAAACATATCCACTATATTTATAATAAGACTGTCATTGAATATTGTTGGTTCTTCAAAAAGTCTTACATTTCCATCTAAAATAATTGAAATTCAGGAAAAGATTAGATATTTTTTGTAGCCGACCTGTGTAATTCACAAGGAATGAAGCTGTAATGGGTAAAATATTGGGCAGCTCTTCAGGAAAAGTTTAGTAGCATTTAGTAGGTGGTTTCATAAGCAGTGAGTTTTTTAATATTTTAATAAATGATTTCCCATTATTATTATGTATATATTGAATATTAGCATGGGTATCATTGGTGTCAATTTTTTTTGGAGGGGGTATAATTGGACACCCACATTTTCCATGTTCTATGAATTACTGTGTACCTGGCTCAATTTGTCACATTTTATTTAAACAAGTACACTGCACACTGCACCTGTGTCTTTTTCTTTAGTTACATACTGTAATTTTAATCCTTTGCACTTTGTACAGACAAGTTTTATAGAGACACTTTATCCTATGATGTATATATATATGCATATGTAATATTATGTTGGGATATTTTAAAAATATCTTTACTTTATAGGTATACAGTTACCTATTTTATTGTAAACTCACCTTATGATTACCTGTGACCTGGTGTTATCAACTTTTTTGACATTGTCCAGATTTTTAATATGTCAGAGCTGGTCTCTGCTGTTGCATCACTGATGTACAGAGCTCTTTCATATTTTTGTAATTTTATTGTGATTTAATCATTAAAAGCACTTGTGGTATTGAATTTGTATTTTTTAGTTATCATTTTTCTTGTGAACATTTTTAATATTTAATTTTATCAAACTTATAATGCATTGTCAAGTTTTATTGAATCTTACATTAAAAATGGAAACTGTGTTGGAAGTTTTGTCATCAGTAAAAACTGTACAGGGAGACAGTTAATTTACAAGATATAAAAAATCTGATGATTTAGAGATCACTAGCATGATAGACTTAACTATGATCCCAATTAAAGAATTAACAGGAAGCCTACAGGTCTTGATGCTCATTACAGTATTATACAACACTCTAAAGATCCACAAGGTATAAATTAAAACAAAATAAACCTTCAGCTAAAATATGGTTAACCAAAAGCAAGAGACTAGTACACTACCACTTGTTTCTATCACCATGCAGAAAAGACATCACAACAGTTTTTACAGGGGTAAGCACTTGTTAGAAAATATCCATCTTAATTTTTTTACTAAATATTCAATGGAGCCCTGTCTTTCACCTTTACCCAGGGGCCATAAGATTCACAATTTTAGTCATAACAATCCACTTAGTTTGTTTGCTCATTACTCAGGTGCAGAGAAACAAATTATTTTCAAAGAAATAATGCATTTCACTATATCATGAATGCAGTAGTTCCCTGCCCATTAGGATCCCCAATCAAGTGTTTTTAAAATTGAGCCCCAGTGCCTAACTGAACTATTCCCTTGTTCAGCTTAATACCAAGAGCAGAGAAAATTTACACAGAAATAATGCAATTTTATTAATCAATCAGTAAAGCCCAAACCTAACACAAAAACTCCTTATTTAGGGCCATGAAATTCATTATTTTTTAAGAGGTACCCTGGTTTATCAAACTAAAGCACTTGGTTTTGGTGCCAAATATTCAGGAGCAACTAAGAGGATATCCAAGGAATGAAATGCTTTTCATTATATGATCAGTAGAATTCCCGCACCAGAACCCCTGACCCAGGGTCCATACAATTTTTGAAGGAGCACTTGAAGTCTAACCTATACATGTACCAAACGTTCAGGATTAATACATGTAGGTCCATTCCCAAGTAACTGTCATCCTACCCAGATTAGTGACTAGGTTAATCCCAATAAACTACTGTAAATGTATTACATTTGGCTTGTATGATATTTGGATATTCGGCAGAAATTCAATTTTCAACAAGCTAGCGTAGATTTGATTTAGCGCTGTCTGAATGTGCTAGTTATAAACGTTAATATACAAGACATTTAGCGATGTACTTGAATTAGCAGACTCTGCTCTCCACCAAAATCGCTAAATAGAATACACCGCTAAATGTAATATGTTTACAGTATAAGCCCTACTCGGACCAAACGTGCATGAATGATGCATCCAAGGATGGACAATGGAAACTTGCTTCGGATGCTAGATCTGACCTACATTTTCCAAACAAGTGACCAGGTTAAAGTTTTTGGAACAGGTCATTCCCCAATGAACTTTAAGACCTATTTAAACAGAACTTACTTGAAAATTGTTGTCAGAATAAATACTAGTTAAACTGTTAAAAAATATGATGTGAGATTTGCATTACTTAAATGATAACATTCGTCGAGGTGGGCTTCGTAATCTTTGATTACCTATGTTTGTAATGCTGATGAACCAGTCGGTAAAATGCTTGGACATAGGAATTTTATATGAAGAGAAGTTGTCTTCTCTATCATACAACATCATTGCCATAGTACTTATGTTATTGGTCATATTACATATGGGTCTTTACACAGGTGCTACAACAATTGTGAATAGGCAAATCCTACTGCCCTCAACCTTCATGAATCAGGAAGTGCCAAAACCACTAAAATAAATGCAAGCGTTAAAAATCTTCTTGACTATTGGACATCAAACTGTTGGCATGACTGGAATAAGCATTGAGCCTCCTTCATAAGGATTCACACTACCAAGCTTGCTTCGGATGCTGGATCTGACTGACATTTTACTGTTGATAGAACAGATAAAAAGTTGTGGTAAAGGTAACTATATGTTGTACGTTGCCCAAATTTACAGGGCTGATGCATCTAAAAATGCATATTTCCAGGCTTGCTTCAGATGCTGGATTTCAGTTTTCATTACATTTTCCAGTTGAGTGAACAGCTTAAAGTTTTTTGTGAGGTCTCATTTCCAAGTAACTATGAACCGTAAGTACATGTATGTTGACCAAACTTGCATAGAACACATCTTAGAATGTGTACTACCAGGCTTGCTTCATATGCTGGATCTGACCTATATTTTCTGGATGAGTGAACAGACTGAAGTTTTTGGTGCAGGTCCAACTTCCAAGCAACTATAAACCCATTGTTGCCCAAACTTGCATGGATGAAAACCACTAAAATTATGCATACTTAAATAAAAAATTTTGCTTCAGATCAAACTAATTGATTGGAATAAGCTTATATTTTCTGAATTGTGAATTCATAGACAGGTTCAGAGTTTTTGGTGCATGCAAGGTCCTATTTCCAAGTGAAATATATCAGCCTTCTATGTCTGACCAAACTTATGTACATACATGTAGTTATGATGAGAAAGAGTGCCTCATCCAAAATTGGCTTTAAGCTTCAGATGCTGAATCTTTACCTATACTTTTCAGTAAAGGAATAACCAGTGAATGTTTTTGGACAGGTAAATTTTTTGGTGAATGTCTGTTTTTGGTGCAAGCCCAGAGGGCCATATGTTGAGCAAATTTTCATGGATGATGCAACATATAGATGGATGCATACTACCAAACTTGCTTTGGATGATAAATTTGAATTCATTTTACTGTTGAGTGAGCAGATAAAAGTTGTGGTAAAGTTTTGAACTATATGTCTATTCCAAAGTAACTGTGAGGCCTATATATCAGATCATAATTGCAGAAATGTTGTATCTTTGGGTGTACACTACTAGATTATTAGTTTAATATGGAACTTAGCCTTACTTAAAGAAAACATTAGTTGAGGTGAGCTCTGCCATCTTTTATTATACCTATGTTTCTTTGAAAATCTTCTCTTCTATTCCTGGGCATTAAACCGATGAACCATGTACATAGTTATGATGAGGAGGGGTGTCTCTTCCAAAATTTTCAAGTTCAATGCTCCTGAGTGTCAGGGGTTCTGGTGAAAGGGTGGGGCTGTAATGATTATTCAGTGAAATCTTTGAAAATCTTTTTCTCTTCTCCTGGGTATTAAACCAAATTTTCATGGATGATGCAACAAGAGATAAACGCTCTCAAACTTGCTTCAGATGATAAATTTGAATTAAAATTTCTTCTTCCAAATTTATGAATTTCATGGCCCCTGGGTCATTGTTTCTGGTGCTAAGATGGGGCTTTATTGATTACTTAGTGAAAATGCATCAACACTTTGAAAAAGTTCTCCTGCTCCAATTTATTACCGGTATGTTAATGATCTAAGTACATCGTTCTGATGGAAAAAAAAAGTGCCTCTTCTAAAATTGATTTTCATGCCCATGGGTCAGGGGTACTGGAGGGGGTTTACATACCGTATAAGTAGAATTTTTAGTGAGGATTTAATTTTGGCTAAAATTGAATTTTGCTAAAAATTAATTGCTTATTATTTGCAATACCTTCTTTAGTTAGCATTTTAAAATCGCTAAATTTACTTCTCGCTAAAAATAAAATATCAGATTTTAAGCAAAATTTGCGTCTCGCTAAAATTTCCACTTATACGGTAGTTTGAAAATAAATTAATGCTTTGAAATCTGTTCATTGGTATAAATCAACCATTTATGATAAGCAAAGGTGCCTTTTCAAAAATTATGAGATATGTGGTCCCAGGGCCAGTCGTTTACATCTGTATATTTAGAAAGTTGTTGCATGATACTTGGGTAGCCTTTTGTCTGGATGAGTGACTAGAAAGGTTTTTGGAGTAAGTCCAAATGACCATAAGTCCTATATTGTCCGAACTTGCATGGATAGTACATTTACTGATGTATACTACCAGGCTTGTTTCGGATGCTGGATCTGATCATATAAGGATGATCGAGTGACCAGGTAAAAGTTTTTGGAGCAAGTTCATTCTAAAGTAATTATTTGTCATTCTTTGACCAAACTTGCATGGATAATACATCTAAGGATGCTCACAACTTGACTTGCTCTGGATTTGACCTTCATTTTTTCAGATGAATTAACAGGTTTATGTTTTTACCAAGAAACTATTAGGCCCATCAGAACTAAACTTGTATGGATGATGCATCAAGAGATGAACACTCTTAAACTTGCTTCAGATGCTGGATATGAATAAATTTCTGGATGAGTGACTAGTCTCTTGTTTTTGGATAAGTTTTTTCTCAACTGCAAGTCCAGCCTGATCAAAATTGTTTAAATGTTGCATCTTGTGATGTACACTACTAGATTGTTAGTTTAATGTGGGACTTTGCCTTACTTAAAGACAACACACTGTAGAGGTGAGTTCTGTAATATATTATCATCTTTGTTTATATTATCTTATACTTCTATGGATCCTTTACAATTTTGTACTTTTACACTCAGGTGACCATTAAGGCCCTTAGGCCTCTTTATTTACAGATATACAAAATGCTCTTTTCGTTCATTATTACATCCAGGCTTTTTCATCTTCACTAACCATTCATGGTAGCTAGCTCAGTTGGTAGAGCACTTGCTTCATTATAAAATGAGAGGTCCTGAGTTTAAATCAATAAAAAATTGGTAGCAACTGTTCCTTCACCATGCGATCAGAACTTGAAGTGAAAGTTGGGGGGGTCCTTTGGAAGAGACCTTAATAAATGAGGTCCTGTGTTATACAGTAGGTTGTTGGCATGATAAAGATCCCTCACTCCTCAATTGCTTGGAGTGCCATACTAATACTGACAGTGTTGCAGTTTTGGTACAGGTGTGACTTGCTATCAGGCAGAAGATGAGAATTCTATAGTCATAGTCACAAGTCATAATTTCAGGGTCAGCTTGTTGTCTTCCATTTTCTCTATCATCGCAGTTTGAGGGAACTTGTGGACTCAAAACCGCTGGTTTACAACTATAGCTGTCTTCAGGAAAATTGCACTTTGAACCAAATTTTCTGAATAACATTAGCTTAAAAAATTCTTGTAAAATCTTTTCTTTCCTTCATGTTTTTCAGGAAATGTCTTCAACTTGATGGTATGGTATTACCATGTCCTCCATCATAAAACACAACAACAAAAAGAATAGATGTTTTACGTTTATTGGGAAAATCAGTAGATGTGTATTTACAAATATTCCAAAAAGATAAGGCATTTTTAGAATGCAAAGAATTTGTTAAAAAAATGAAAAGAAACAGAACTCATAGGAGGGAAAGAAATCAACAGGATCAAGGTAAAATAAGAAAAGTTTAGTAAAACTTTAATCAAAACAATTTACAATGATTAATATAAACTTATGTACATGTATATATACAAAGGGTATAGAATCACTTACCTGTGTGACATTCTGTAATCCCCAAAAAAGTAAAACACCCCAAACCATAAACATCTTACGTCATTATCAGTCACACAGGTAAAAGTTCCTATACCGTAGAAATCACAAGGTAAGGGTTGAAAACATCTGTTCCAGGCATTGCATCTCGACCTCAAATGGAGAAAACTACAAAAAAAAGAATTACTGAGTATAATAAAACAAAAGGTTAGAAAAATAATTTATTAAATGAATTTTTACATATACACATATATATTCCAAAAGGTTTTTAAAGAAAAATGCTTTAAAAGTATTTCAAATATAAAGAAAAAATTGTTTACCAAAGCAGTCTTCTGTCTTTTGGAGGGATCACAAGGACCACTGGACCTCTTCCGCTTCCTGGTGGACTGGTTCTAGAATAAGAAATAAATTATTCAACTATAATACAGACACATATACCTCAAACAGTTACTTAATGTATTTGAATTTGATTAGAACGTTATCCAGTACCTCAACCCCTGTCTGCTGTTTCTCTGTGCAGCCTGGAGGGGGAGAACGCAGGTCACTGGTCTGGCTGGTACCCCCGGGGCTGTCCCCTGCTGTCTGGTCCTCACTCTGTTTGACATCAGTTTGCTGGACAGGAAAACATTTTATTATAATTAGTATTAGGTATTTAAAGTTCACTGATACTCTGATAAGAGAGATAACTCTTAATGACAAAAATGTCTATTATTCCTTTATAGATTTGCAAAGTCGAAATGTCTTTTTTGTTGAATTTTGTTCCAAAAGCTGATAATATTGTTTGTATTTTACTTGTAAAACATTTCTTTTGGAAAATCATTAAGGTTCAAGCAACATTTTATATTATTATACTTTCATGTTAAATACTAAAATCTGATTGGTTTAGACGCAGTTGACAATCCGTTCTATTACCCTCAGCCTTAGCAACAAACGTGACAACGGGTAACAAAACGATAATGTTACATGCGTGGAAATTATGCGCGTACGGTTCACCGTAGAATTCTCAAAACGTCAGCTGTGCGTTTGAAAGAACTGGAATAAACTTGACGTCAATGAAAGCTTGCGCCCGATGTAGCTTACATGAAAACAACAAACGACAGAGGAAACATGCTTGACCTAGTGTAGAAATAACGTAAATTTCAGCTCTAGATGATAAAGGACTCTGTATTAGTCATCAAATAAACAATAAAGAGGTCAGTAAATCTTTTTCGTGCGTAGCGTGGAGTTTGAACATTTTCAGCTTCTCTAAACGTGAACGTTTCAACCAATTTTGGCACGATCTACGATTTTTTTCCCTGCCATCCTAAATCAAGAAGCCATCAGTATAATAAAATAATGTAATGTTGAGTCCTCTACCAAAATTGTGAAATTCATGGCCCCAGGGTAACAGGGCGGGGCTATATAGATTATATAGTGAAAATACATTATTTCCCCTCTGCTCTTGGGTAAAACCATTGTCAACCTCCAAAATTGTGAATTTTATGGCCCCAGTCGGTTGACAATGGTTTTCCTTATATAGGGTGTGCAATTATTCTTTGAACTGTTCTCTGCTCCAAATAAACTAACTAAGCACATAGTTATATATGAAAATTGTGATATTTATGCAGAGGGTTTATGAACCTTAACATTTTTCATTCATACTTTTTTATCTTTTTTTACCTGCCTAAAGGTGGCTATTATTGCCATTCCTTTTTTATTCAAATTTAAAGATAATAAATAAATTGATTTTAACTTAATTCAAACACATCAATTTCTGAAGCTTATGTTAAATCATAAGCTTTTCTAAAATTTTGGTTGATTCATTTACCCACCCTGTCAGAGATTGTCTTTAGTTTGTCAGAAGGAGGGAGGGGAGGAACATCAGAAGCCACAGGTGGGGGTACTCTGTCGGTGGCTGAAGAGGATGCAGTCTCCTGTCCCTCAGTGGGAGTGGTGTCAGTGGTGGGAGTCCTGGCCTGTTCCTTAGAGTCAGTGTTCAGAGAGGATGCAGTCTTCTCAGACGCAGGTACCACAGTGGGACTC